TGTTCGTTAATTTTAATTTTAACTTTTAGTTTTAACTCTTCAAGTTCGTTAATGTAGTTTTCTTCATCTTTGATAAAAAAATTATCAACATTTTTTAACACGTCAATATATTTCAAAACCTGGTTGTAATTTTTTTCATTATAAATTTTCTCTTTAAATTTTTGAATTAATACCGATCCACGAACACGAATTTCCTCATCCAAATCCAAGACCATATACTTGTTTAAACGTATATCCCCATGTATCAAATTATAAAGATAGCTACCCGGTTTCAAATCTATAAGCTTTTCCTTTTCTTTGATCTTGCTTGTATAATATTCATAAATTGTGTTATAGCTAAATAAAATATCTATTTAAATTATTATTTCAGTTGATGTGGGTGTTGGAACAGATTCATTAGGTTGAGAAGGAATAGGGTTATTTGCTTTTATAGCATTGATAAGTTGTTGTAATGCAGCACCACCAGTTAATCTAAGATTTTGTAGATTATCCATATCGGTATCATATCCAAATAAAGCAATACCATATTCAACGATTAAAAATAATCCTGGTAAAAAAACAGTTTTACTTTGTTCTATTCCAAAAAACAATGCATCTTCTAGATCGATAGGTTCATCTTTGTTTGTGGTCACGTTAGCCAAGAGTGTGTTATCAATTTTTTCTTGTAAGGCTAAAGGATCCACAGTTACCGTTACTATCCATGCGATATTTGGACTGAATCCACCTTTTTGTTTATCGCAGCCAAATGAAAGGATCCCATCTGATGTTGGTTTTCCAGGTAAGCAAAATGGCATTCCTGGATCTTTTCTAGGTTCTTGTGACCCATCATGGGCCGTGTACATTGGTATTTTAAAAGTGTATTCATACAGTTCACATACACAGAAATTCTGAACTTCTTTGGTTTTTGCATTGATATCGATTGGTCTATCTACAGAGTTTATAACTTTCCATTTATCATTTATTCTACTTTGTATATCATTATCTGTATTATCAAATCTTGTAACACCGGGTTTAAAAAAATCAT